ACCAAGACATTATTATATAAGTGAAATTGATCTAGGAAATATTATAAGTGATACTAGAATGTATCACTTACTTTGAAAAAATGACAATAATTTTGTTTCATAAGATTATGACCTACTAATTGAAATAGTAGATGTTGTTCATGTTGATGAATATGCAAAATCAAAAACTATTGAGCAAGCTATGAATTCACTTCTTTGCAAGGAGTAGAATCATACCATAAAAGAAGAATTTAATTTTTTGAAAGATTATGGTGTATTGGAGTTTTTATTTTTATCAAATGACAAGAAGCTTGTGAATTCAAAATAGGTTTTAAAAATAAAGCTTGCTGACAATAATTCCATTGAGCATTTTAAATTATAATTGGTTGCACATGATTTTATTCATATAAAGGGTCTTCATTATTAAAAGATTTTTGTATCCATTGCCTATCTTATAATAACTTACATATTTATTGTAATTATTACTACCTTTAATTAGAATCTATTACAACTTGATATTATTTCAACTTATTTGAATGGTGAATTAAAAAAAGAAAAAATATATATAAAGATTCTAAAAGGATTGAAAGTTCCATTCAAACACATTAGCAAGGTATTGCAATTGCTGAAGACTTTATATAATTTGAAGCAATTTGGATGCTGATAGAATAAGATTTAATAACAAGAGTTTAAATCTTAGTTGAAAGCACTCAAAATTAGATTATTTTTTTATATAAAATATATATATTGATAAATTAGTCCTTGCATTGATTATCTATGTTAATGATGTACTAATTGCAATGTGTGAAAAAAAAGACAAATTAGATAAATTAAAATATTGTCCCACAAAATAAATAGCAGCAAATATCTTCAAAAAATCTCTTTTTAGAGATAAGTTTATAGCTTTTAGAGTTACTTTAGGTTTATTTTAATTGAAAACTAAGTCCTACTTCCAAATAAGGAGTGTTGAATGAAATTATATTCTTTGTAGTACAAGTCAGGACTTGTCTAATATATAACAAGTTCTATGAATTGCGACCTCCTTGTTTTGATACATTCATATTTGCAACTTGAATGAAGTTCTATTTTTGTAACACTTTCTTTTGCTTATTATAACCTTTATAATATTTTTATTTTTTATTATTTTGATATTTTATTTAAATTCTAAAAATTACCATCTATAATCTAATAATATAAAATATAATCTTAAATAATTTGATATCACTTATATATAGAAGGTAGATTTTTTTTACTTCATTCAATTTGATTAAATTAAGTCAATTAATTTGATTTAAATCATTTTTTATGATTATTCAAATTTTATCTTAAGATTTTTATTAAAGCTTAAAAATATTAAAAAAAATTAAATCTAATTTTTAAATATTTTTATTAATAATAAATATTTAATTTGATATTAGAAGTAGTACTAATTAATTATATTTTTATTTATTTTATTTTTTATCATTACTGTGAATTTAATTAGAATTTTAATCAACTTAAAAAGAAGATAATTCACTTGATTAAACCATTATTTTAATAATACCAAGTCCTTGCAAAATATAAAGACATATTTGTTGAGCTTTTTGTTTGTACTTGCTTAACAATGCATTGATTTATTACCTCATCTAAAATAATAGGTTGGTTTTCATAGCTTTCATTAATTTGTCACAAAAAAAATCAACCAAACTTTTACCTATTGGATTGTCTTTCTACAAGGTACCAATACTAGGCAACTACAACGTCATTTCATTTATTTATTTATTTTTTTCGGCAAATTAATATTCTAATATGAGAATATCGAAATTTGGGAAGAAGAGTGTTTCAGCAACTGTTTCAAAAGAAAGCCTCTCATGCGAAAGTGTGAGCGAAAAAATGTTCCTTCTCCAGTTACAGCAGCAATGAACATCGACTGAAAAACATTGTCAGTCATAGCCACACAACTCACAAGTAAATTCCAAGTCTCGTTGAATGAGGATGATGCTAGTGCCACAGTTCAGTAGTGGTGGTTATTAATTACTGTTGAACATGCTAGATTTTACAATAACAAATGAACTTCTTTGCTACTGCGCAGCGACGTTGCGGCGCGTCACGCCGCAATGGTTAAATGTGTACATGGAGGCTACTGCTCCTCCTATAGCAGCCTCAACTAATATCAAATTAGTCAGTTCACGTGGAGGCTGACGATTCATTCCAGAATACGTGTTGTTGTAAGAAATAAGAAAAAATTACCTATACTGTTGCTCCCCAGCAACACTGCGGATAGTCGCGGCGCAACAGCAGCATATACTTATCCTACAAAAGTATTGATTCCCGCATTAAATGCCAGAGAAAAGAAAAAAAAATATGTCATATGCGGTAGATTGATTCCAGCAGAATTGGTTGCAAATTTTATATTATTTTTTCCAAAGCTTCACAAGGAAATGAAAGTCAATGCCGGATTTGGATGAATCGATCTCTACATTGCCAACGCAATGTGTTTTAACGCTGAAGATTCATCATACAAAGCTGACAAGTGTGTCATTCCGACGTTCTTTGACAATTGAATTATAATTGGAAAAAGATTTATATGTGTTGCATAGAGGAATGTGTTGTATTATAATATGTAATCTTTATTAACAGGATATCAAGAGGGTTGTTCAAATTCATAGTAGATTGTAAATATTTTTCTAATACTTTGGTTTGTGTTTCTATAAATTAGAGAATTAAGGCTTGAAAATAATTTAACATTTATATTTAATGTTTGAAAGACTATCTTTGAAAATTTTGATACAAAATTGGATCTCTGAGTAGATATTATGTGAACTAAGGATTCATGATATCAGTAGAAATTATTAAAAATTATATTGCATCTAAAATTAATTGTTGTTTAAAAAGTAATATTAATCAAATCATCAATGAGTTTTTTCTTTTTTCTTTTTTTTTTTTTCTTTTCTTTTCTTCATGAACAAGAATTCTTATTGACTTGTTTTACTAAATTTTATAGAATTTTTAACAAAGACATGTTTAAACAAGATTGACAACAATTTAAAACATTTTTTGACTTATTGTATTTAAGGTTCTTGAAATTAGAATAAAATATTGCTATACTAAAAGTACTTTAAAGTAATGGCTCCATTTTTTAAAATCATAGTTAGATTTAATCATCTCTTTATTATAAATACTGTAATTAATGTAAATTTTAAAAAATTAACTTTTATTATTTAAAAAAAAAAAAAAAGCTAGCCAAGTAAATAGAAAATCCTTGATATTGACTTTTATATTTGACACTTCATGTAAAATTTTATGAAGTCACATATATTCACTATTTTAAAATCATTTTTATTTAGAAAAATATCTATTCTATCATGCATACAAAGATGGTGTTAAAATAGAATAGACATTTTTTTTATATGATTAAATCTTAGAGATTTTCTTAAAACATAGAAAAAAATAATAAATAAATAAATAAAAATAGATTTAGTATAAATAATATCAAATAAGGATGATAATGTAAGAAGTCCAATATGAAAGGATTGTAAGATAGCTCAAATAATAATAGAAAAAAAAAAAAAAAAAAACAACTTGTAAAAACTTGTTGTAAATACAATCAAAATTGTATGATAAAATTTGGAGCAATTTGTAATATGAATATGTATATTTTAAAGTCATGACATGAAACCAAATAATATAAGTCAAATGTAGTAATAAAAATCAAAAAAATTATTTATGAAGTAAAATTATAAATTATTAAAGTTTTTGGAAGGATTTAAAAGCTATAATTTTTAAATAGAAGTATTAGAAAATAAACTATTAATACTTATTCAATTCATGTGAATGCTCTTAGAAGTAAGAAGAAAAAAATTTAAACTTTGTGTTAGCTGAATGTATAATTATATTGTTAAAAGTATAACATTTAAATAGCTTGAGAAAATGAAGAAATATTATTTATATTAGATAGAAGATCTATTGTGTAATTGAATATAATTAAAGACTTGATTATGTTAGTTTATCATAGAGTTTTAATCCATAAAATTACACTAGCAGCCATAAACCTGTAAATACATGATAATAATGAATCAACTTACATATAAATTGGGTCAATGCCTGGAAAACTAGATCTTTAACATTGATTTAGATGACAACAACAATAACAAAAGATGGTCAATTAGAAAATATAATATATGAAAAAAAAAACAAAAAAATATTGTTTTTCTTCTTCTAATACTTCAATAATATATATATGTATATATATATATATATATATATATAATATAACAAAGAATCATTTTTAGAATATTTTTAAAAATAAATTAAAAAAGAAATTCAACTCAATTAGAGTTGTGAAAGGTACTTATACCAATGCAAAGCAAATACGGTCAATGTGGCTTGATTAAGTGAACTGATACAATTCTACCACACAAGTTACAGAAAGACAATAAAATTTGAATTAGATAGAAATTTATAGAAGACTTTGGTAGAATGAGGTAAAAACTTTCAATGAAATATAATAGCCATCTCTAAACTTTCAACAACCAAATACCATATGAGATCTACATCAAATAATCAACACAATAAAGATAAACAAAAGAATTAAACAAAAACCCCCTTGTCCCAAATTGTCAAAACATGCATTTGAACACCATAAAAGTAAAAAAGAACAAAGCCCATCACATGGGTTAACATCCCACTCTACATTCCATGTCTCAATCCGAAACTCTAAAAACATTACTTCAAGACACACAGTAAAACCCGTTAATGTTCAAGACTATAGCAAAAGGGACAATTCCACAACATTTCAAGGAAAGAAAGCAAAAGACATTACTAGAGGGTCTCAGATCCAACCCGAGCAGCAGCAAAATAGACAAAATTATTTCATTGACAAGTCCGCGGTGGACATGAACCATCACAGTTTCAAAGAATTCAACAAATCGTTGACATTTAAGGTCCTCGAATCCAAAATCGGCGGGCAACAATTACTGATCACCGCAACGAAGAAGAAGAAGAAGAAGAAGAAAGCTATTCCAGGGGTACCTTCGAGATGAGAAAGCAAAGCCCAAGTCGAAGATAAAACCCCCGAAATGCTTCACCTTTCCATGTTCGGGGAGTGGAGCACCAGGGGAACAGCTTCTACTGGGGGTTTTGTCGACCGCTGGTTACAAGCGTGCTTTTCTGGCTTAAGGTGTCGCATTCTGCAGTAGATATCTGTACACTGTGTTTCTAGTTGTGAGCGGATGTGTGTATACGTTGTGGGTGGTTGAGTTTTGTGTTGAAAATTATGTGTCCAAGAGATCTGGCCTTAGTGGTGTCTGGACGAGATCGCTTAGGATCGAATAATCTCCACGTTGGGGGAGATTAGTGATGTTTTTGTTCAGTAATTGGTTTCGTTGTGGGCAAACTGATCTTGCTGTGGTGATGTTGCTGTAAGGGCGACAGTTCCGACCATGTCGTTGCTTCAGAAGTTTGTGCTCGTCCAGATTTTGAGTTCACATTCCATTTGCGTTTTTGGTGCAGGTTGATCAATGCCAACAGCAATGCCGACTCCTCGTGGCTTCCGCCTCGGCGACAGTCTGATCATCGTCGCTATTTGCATTTTCGCGACGGGATGTTTGGTCCATGGCGCTCCGCCAGCGTCGCGGGCTAAGGGATACAGTGCGATCGTCGACCTCACGCTACCCGTAGATTCACCCGCGCGAGGCAAGGCTGTACTGGAAACTGGGAGATTCCAGTTCTGGCTGGAAGGTGACATGAAAGGCGTCTGCTCTTTGAGTGTGCGGGAAAAGTATACGGGACGTGGTGATCCAAGCAATAGGCCTGGAGACCGGGGTTACCTCTTGTGGTCGGCCAACTATTATGCAGGAACTCCAGTGGGCGCAGACAAATGCACTGTCAAATTCACCAATAATGGAGACCTGCAGCTGTGGATTCTGTACAAGGGCAAGACATCTCTGACCTGGAGCAGCGAAACCGGTGGCAAAGGGGTGACGAAGATGGCGTTGGAAACCAACCCCGATAACGGAAACTTTAAGCTGGTGACGGGATACAACAAAGCCATATTCAACAGCTTTGATGTCAAGGAATGGCTGGTTCTTAAGGGTCAGAAATTCTGGTATGCTGAACTTCTAACTTCTAAAGTCGACATGCATTTACATTCACGTTGAGGTTGAGTCCGGCTCGCTATCTTTCGTCTAATCACGGTTTTCGTGGGTTACCTTAACAGGACGGGCGAAAGGTTGAAAAATCCCAAACAAGAACAGGATTTGTATCAAGAAGTATTGGCAAACAAGGGCACCTACATCATGATCCTCAAGGGAGGAGATCTTCAGCTGCTTCTGAATGGACCCAACCCTGAGGTTTACTGGAGCCTTAAAAAGTCAGTCCCCGTCAGCCAGGATCTGAGCAAGGTTGCATACGCAGGTACGTCATTTGCTCAAGATTTGCGACTTAGCGCCGAATCTTATATATATATATATATATATATATATACATATATTTGTGTGTGTGTGTGTGTGTGTGTGTTTGTATACATGTTTGTGTGCGTGTGCCTTATGATTCGGAAGCGCAGAAGTATGCATGATGGTTAATTGCGTGGTGGGTGCCCTGCAGCTGTGGCTAGGAACAATGATGGAATCGGCCTCTATACAGCGGCAGGGAGTCTCGTCTACAAGACTGCAGTCCCTCCCTGGGTTCCAAATTATGGAGCGGATTATGACTTTGGCCTCGATTTCCAAGGCAACCTCAAATACTATCTCATGTATAAGGATGCTTCGTGGACCTATGGTTGGCAGGCGCTTTTTGAGTGCGATCTGCCCAACTTCTGTGGCAACTACGGTATTTGCTCTACGACTACTGATCAGACTGGGACGACCACTGCCGGATGCACTGGGTTCGCTCTCCGCCCTTCATTTTCCAAGTTGCATGGTTGTCTTGGAGGTCGAATCGGGAGAGTGTTATGCATCAAAGAATGATCCAATGCAGTTTTCTAATTGACCTAAGCTGCTTGCACTTGTGTACATGCAGCTGTCCGACGGGTTTCTCTTTGAACTCACCCGACCACAACTCTCCACCGGTTTGCAAGCGGAACAAAAAAGTGAAAAAGTGCAACAACAAGAATTACGTGGAATTGGCGGGCTATGAATCTGCGATGCTGTTCTACGCGACTCCGCTCAGGATCTCACTGGGTGCCTGCAAAGCCAGTTGCTCGGCTGATTGCAACTGCGATGGATTCTTCTACAATGGGAAGGCAGGAAATTGTTTCAAGCGAACGCAGATCCTTACACTGAAGAAGGTGACTGTCAACACCGGTACGTCGGTGTTCATCAAAGTATAGAGAGTGGAGAAGAGATGACTTCATTGAAAATGCACTTGCAGCCAGTTGGATCCAGTCAAGGGGGCGAGGTGGGTCCAGCTGGATACACGCCATACCAAGCTCAATATCATACGCTCATTACTTTTCAGGATTTTTCAACACGAATACTGCCACAATTCTCATGTGTGGATACGGGTTTTCTTCAGTGAAACGTTTGTGGAATTGGATCATGAGCATATACAATACATCGAGCTTGTACGGTCACTTGAATTACCTACTTCTCGCGTCATCTTCAATTCTGAAATGGTTCAGAATGTCTATCGCAGTCTTCTCATGAACCTATTGCTGGCCACTTTATTTACTGCTTGGTATTGAGGTATTTCTCGGACTATGGTTTGAAAATGTTCTACGTAACTTGGCTGGTAAACGGAAGCTTGGGTGTGAGACCCTGCAGTGTGAGCTAATGCAGCTAATGCAGCTGAAATTTTGGTATCTGATCATATCCTTCGTTTTCATGTTTAGAATTTGTGTGTCAGTGTGCGATCTTTTGATATGTATATGTTTATATAAGTATATTTATATATTACTTTACATCCCTTCAGAAAAATCCTTAATTTGGTAATCTTTAAAATAAATTCTGAGTATATAAAGTATTATGTATGTACATAAATACATGTATATATAACTCAGTTCAAGTCAATTATTTAAAACCTTTTATTTGTTTTGAAATCATTTTTATTTCATGTGTAATAATTATATAGTAAAAATATCACTTGAAAATATTTTCATACTAATATTTCTTGACTTTATTATATTTTAAGCCACAAATTTCGTACTTCTATGTTATTATATTTTTCTAAAAAGATTTTACAATTTATTATATTACTGTAAAACATTTGAGATGGATTGTAATTTACTACAATTTTACACCGTTTTAAGATCAAGGTCACATAATCAAAACCAAATTATATCCAGTCACAAATAAGTCTTTTCTTCTTTAGAACAGAATAGTGTATGTTGTAATAGTTAGCTTTATATTTGAATCTAGATAATTATTGTTTAATTCTATGTGTAAGTTTTGTTTGCTTTGAATTAGATTTTTATCTTTGTCTCTAAATATCCTATGAATATAATTCATATCCTTAATGCTTTATCTATATGACTTTGTATGGACATATAATTATTCATCTCAAAAGACAAATTTTTAGTTTATTTATTTATAATATTTTTTTAACAAATAGCTAGATACTATATTCTTTTTATAATTTGTTTCATTCTTCCAATACATTACAAAAATCATAAGTTTAGTTTTTTCTATTTGTATATCATTTAAAAAATATTCTATATTTTTTTCATACAATAACAACCATTAACAATTTAATCTTCTAAATGCATATCATTAGTATTCATCCTTGGAAGTGGTCCTTTTAATCTTAATTTCTTGATATTCTATGCATCTATCTTGCAATTTTTAAATCCTATTTTTTAGGCCTTTTTACTTATTTTGATGTAAAAGAATAATCTGTTGTTGGTTAAAATCTAGAAGTATTAGAAATAATTTCTATTCATAAACTAACAAAGACATTGCATAAACGGCTATACAATTTGCTACAACAAAATTTATTTTTATGTATAACATTGTAACTTAACATAATTGTTAAATTTTTTTGGTCTATAGGCTATAAGTATAAATAAATATTAATTTGCATTGATGTTGGCTACATATTAGAAAAGTTGATTGGATTTTCTCCTATGCCAATTTTATGCTGATTTTTTAAAAATTGGTTTATATAAAATTTATTCTTTCATTTTGAATATCTATATATATTTCAAATTTTTATATCAATTTCAAATAATAATAAATATTTTTAATGTATAAATAGATATTATTAATCTATTATAAAAAGTTAAAATATTTTGATTCATTAAAGTGTATCTAAATTAAAAAAACATAAAATATGATAAATATTTTTTTATTAATAATTATAATAAAATTTATAATAAATTTATATAAAAAATATTAATAATTATCATCTATAAATTATAATATTATTAGATAAAAATATTTGAATGGTAGTTATAATTTTAAATCAAATTTATAAAAATAAACTAAAATTTAATATTTTAAATAATAATTACATCATATGTTTTTAATTAAGAAGAACTTTTAGGTATTTCAAAAGAATGTTGTTGTTGTAAAGCAACAAGACTTAATTTCAAAGACATCATTCATAATAAAACTCTAAAGAAACAATATACTCTTTTAACACTTAAAAAAATAATAATAATAATAATAATAATAATAATAAATATTAGATAGAAATTAAAATGACTACTACCAAATACAAAAATATTAGAGATTCTTGAATTTGAACAAGAATACAAGAAAAGCATTGATAAAATCGAAGAAGACTTTACTCATGTCTCTATATATATTGTCTACCTAAAAAGCTACATGGCAATGTTCTATAAGTCATCCAACATGTTTTCAACTTAGAAAATACATGTCTAATTAACACTTGCAAAATTTCAAACATGTGCACCATATGGCCAACTTATATCACAATTAGTTAATATGTGCAATATGTAGCCAACTTATTGGCTAAGTTTTGAACTTATTAATCATCTATATACACTTGCAAAATTAAATCAATGTCTATAAAGCCTCTTCTCAAGATATTATCAAATTTATTTATTTTTATTTGCTTCTACCTAATTCTTCTTGATAATTACTAATGTCAATATGTATGTTTGTGACAATAGATCATATAGCTAAAGAATACTTTTACATTGTATATAAACATAAAGCTTTTAAAATTATTTTTAGTATTTAATGATTGTTTAATTTTTTGACTATGGATAGAAAATATTATCAAATATAACAAAATAGATAAAATTATAAATCACCATATCTTAATTGATAAAAGTCCAAATTATAAGAAATGCTACATTATCAATTTAAAAATCTATTATTAATATGTATATGGAAAATAAACACAACTCAAATATAGATATTTTTTATAAGTTTATTCTCTTAATTAGTATCAAAGATGTAATTACTGAGATATGACATTTAAGTTTAAATAAAAAAAATTAAATTGTATATTACTAATTGAATTTAATAAAATTATTATTACATATTAATTAACTTTTGGCAATAGCTCTATATAAAATATTGTACTAATTAAATATTAAAACTTAAATATTGTAATTTAAAGATTCTTATTTTTAGTAAATAAAATATTTTATATTATAAGTATTTTACTAATTTAAAATAAAATATTATAATTGTATTATTTTTATACATTCATTTTTTTTTTTGATTTTACAAATTAAAATAATACAATCAAAATCCAAAAGATTAATCTTTTGAATCTTTTATGATAAAACAAAGGATCTAGTTTTAAATAAAATGGATGTTAGAGATTTGAGAATTTGATTATTATGTTCATGTTGTAAACCTTGTTTTAAATCTATCAGCATGGATATTTATCTAACTTTTTTCTTTGTAAGAGTAAAGAAATCTTTAATTTATTGATTGATTTCAAGAAAAAATTGTCATCACATTAATAAATTATCAGAATTCTAAATATGTATTTTTATTTTTATTTTAAATTTTTGGATCTTTAGTAGAATTAAATATAATATAATTACTTAATTTATAAATAATTGAAATATCTTATTATCAAGAATATGAATTTCAAAGAACCAAAGGATCAATACACTCTTATCTCATAAAAAAAAGAATAGATAATCACTTAAAGATGGTATAATATTAAGACTAGAATGGCTATTACCAAAGTTAAGAATATTATAGACTCTTAAAACAAGACTAAGAACAAGAAGATGTTCACAAGAATAAAAAAAAGGGTTTCATTCATGCCTCTATATATATTGTCTTAGTAGCTATATGATGATAGTCTATAGGATCTCCAACACTTGTTTAGCTTATAAGATACATATCTAATTTGAAAAACAAGTTACTTGCATGTATACTAGATGGCCAACTTGTACTACCAATTGCTAATATATACATGTTGCTAAGTTTTCAACCTACCAATAACCTTCAAATATGTATAAAGTCAAATTTTTATCTATAAAGTTTCTAAAAAGTTTTTATATAATACATTATTAGATTTATCTATTTTTATTTATTTCTAACTAATTATTTTTATCTTGATAATTATAAATGTATATTATATCCATAACATTATTCTTCTTTTTTCAAACAAAATCCATAAAGTGTGGTGATTATATCTTGATTCTACATTTTGATTTTGATGGATGTTGCCAACACAAAGCATCAATCTTTTTTGCTATATTTATAAAATTTCTTATTAGATTTTATTTATATTTATTAATATTATATTTATACCAATATATTAGATATTCTAACATTTTTTGTAGCTACCTTGAGTTTAAGATGTTTTCTACTTCAAAGTCTTAATTATTATTTATTTTTATTAATAGAAATAATTTTTTTTTTTTATGTATCCATTTTTTTGTATGGTTTAAGAAGAGATACATAAAACATAAGATAGATCTTTTTAGGCTTTGTTAGGTGAGATTGATAAACAAGGAGATTAATTAATTTACAAAAAAAATCGTCAAAATCTACGGTAATCTAATTTGTTATAATAGCAAAGAGTCTTCATATTACAACAAAGTAATCATACTTTGTTGTGCTGGAAAGTAGCACAATATGTAAAAATAACATAAAATATTATAAGAATTTGGATTATAATTAAAAATAAAATAAAATAAAAATAAATAAAATAAAATATTTATCTAATTTATTTAATTTTATAATTTAAATTTAGTAATTAAAGATAGAAGTTGTAAGATTTATTAGTAAGGAGTTTAGATGAGCTTTGGTATAAAAAGTATTATATTTTGACTCTTAAGCCATCCTATGTGGAAAGATAAGGTGAGTGATAGAAGACTTCATTTCCATTGATTAAAAGTCATATCCAATTGGCTTCAAGATGTTGTCTAGGACCACACTTGAGTTTGGAATTGCTTTAGGGCGATTCATTTGAGGTAAGGCAGACCTTTCAAGGCAAAGGAACCCATGTGAAGTTTGGAGATAGGATTTGAAAAGTTTGTAATTGGACCTAGAATTTGTGTGAAAAAAATGCATGATTTGGAGTTGTAATGAAAGAGATATGGTTGTTTGAAGTGAGGATATAATTTTGGTACCAATTATTATTCTTTTAAGCATATAGAGAGTTATAAGAAAGCATTTAAGAATTGGAAAGTGAAGATCAAAAGCTGACTTAAAGAACTACATTTTATATAAAAAATTGATACATTCTAATCTAGAACAGAGGAGAAAGAGTTGTTGGAAGTTAGTATTTAAAATTGGAATTTTTAAGAAAATTATTTTTAATAGAGGTCTTGGTTTTTTCCATATCTTGAGTTTTAGGATGAATTTATGGCTCAAAATTTCCAAAAATGTGAATAACTATGTTAAAAAGTTTTATATGAAAGATTCATGATATTTGAGTATTGGA